ATCATCGTACTTAGAGCACCAAGCTAGTCTTTCGGTAACTGTCCATGACGACTGTCTTTTGTTATTGCAATAATTGCTGTAGTTTTCTAACACACTACTTTAGATTTCGTCGGAGATTTCGGTAAGAGTCTAACCTATATTGTATTCGCGGAATCTTATAGGATTTGCCTGTTTTTGATCTCATAGCTCACCTGAAATTTCATAGGTCAATCTATGGAAGAACAAATCTCGAGATCTTCAAGCTGAACATGAGCGGATGCTCTCCCAATGTTGCGCTTATGAAGAGGAACTATCCCATTTACGGTCGCGACTGGGAAGCTCCATCAGAAAGGCCAAGTAATATTAATTTGTTATCCAACGTCCATTTTAAGTTATTTGTTAAGACCGAGAGCTTACTCTTGCCTCGACGTTTTATGTCCTTTCAATCTATCCAGCCTTCCGCATCACTTTCAAAATGTCTTGGGTCATTGTGTAGTTTTTTTGCCAGCGAAAGTGCCGAGGGCGTCAAAAAGTTTTGTCGCCTTACTTGTTGGACTCGGGAACATGGATCGCCTAGTAGTACTACAAATGGCCTCGCACTAAATTCTAGGGTGTTCCTGTTCTCTTATCGTAACTTCAGCCCCATCACTTATCCTAACGTTCCTAACTCTAACCATAGTCTGACGTAGGACACCTGTGTTAAATACGGTTTATATTGTGTTGTTTCTGCAAGTGCTGCCAGTTTTTTTGCCACTGTGTACATGAAGAACAAACTCCTCGCTACCCGTGTGTGTTGAGTATAATGCCCTAATTAGACAGAATGACCTTGGCGTCGACTTGGGACTCAGGTTTTCCCTACACACCCATTTTTTGAAAATGCGTCGCGATAATACACAGTCATAACAGGAGGAATAAACCCTTTTCCGACTGCTTTAAAGATCTAATATTCATCACCCCTCAGCTATGTCAATCTTGTAATAGTATAATGTGACTCGCATGTTGACCCAATCGACCAGACAACCACCACATCCTCCAAAAGTTTGCAGTCCTTAATTGGAAGCCGAGGTGGCGAGCATACCTAGCATTTGGTAAATTCTCCTCGTGCCAGTACAATTATATGGGTACGGGGTAGAAGCAAAAACATGTCAGTGATAAGAGAAGTCGATTAAAGTTCGTCTTAAAACACAGGCGCTGTGTGGGGAATGTGGGGGAGGAGAAGTGGGGGGTAATAGCAGTCAGTTCCAGGGGTGGGGTGAGAGCGGAAGGTCGCGGAGCTTTGCAGCGTTTGTCGACCTTCGACCACTGTGGGCGCGGAGCCTGGACATGGTTCTTCTGTGCGCACAAGTTTGGTTTTCGTAACCTGACGGCGGCCGTTCTGCTGTTGCTAACAGGCGTTGGTCCAGTAGCTGAGGGTGGCTCAATGGGACCTTATAAATCACACGGAAAGCTTTGCGGAGGTCCACACGATGTCCAGAATTAACAACATGCGCGAGAGTGGCGTTGCTTATGCTCCTCTTTTCGCCTTTTCCCAACCACACCGGGAGGTGTTCTTGCATATTGTTGCATAGGCGTCGACTTGTGCGACCAATATAACCTGTTCCACAGGAACAAATGAAAGAATAGATGTACATTGAGGTGGTCTGAGGTGGCAACCTATCCTTACCTTCGCTTAAAATAGGTTTAGTATAAATGAACCCTTGCTGCTGGGAAGGTTCGTGAGACAGCTTGATCAAGGCATTTCCTTACGAGTTTGCTCGCAGAGTCCCCTTAAAAAGGGACTTTGAGGGACAAAATTTTCTTTTCGGCAGTCGATGTCGTGGGTTTTACCGGTCGTTCGGCAATGTTCTTTGCAATGAGCCTGTCAGGATGCCCGTTTTCGCGAATCAAGTCCTAGATTGTTCTAAGCTTCTTCTCGATGCTATCTTTTGAACAGACTTTTCTAGCTCTTTGGGCCAAACACCGGAATAGATTTCGTTTTTGTTGGAGAGGGACGAAACTGGCGAAGTTCGTGTGTTGTCTAGACCAGGTTTTCTTCCGATGGACGCTCCTTCGGACGCTACCCTCAGGTCTCGTGCTTAGAAGAACATCTAAGAAAGGGAGCGAACCGACCGTTTCCATCTCTAACGTGAATTTGATCGACGAATGTGCCTGATTTACAGCATTAAAGAGGATAGCTACGGCGGTTTCTGCGACGGCAATCGCAAAGATATCATCAGCATAGGCATCATAATGTTTAAGCTTATCGATATGATCGTTTAGTTAACACATCGCTAGTTTGCCCATGAAAACATCGGCTGAGAGGCGAGGCCATAGCAACACCGTCTATGTATCTATAGGGTTGGTTGTCGAACAGGAACTGCAAATTTAGTGTGCATCTTAATAATAGTTCCTTCAGTGTGTTCGTCAAAATTCTTATTTTCATTTGGTTGATTGATACAAATTCACAGATGTATTCAACTGCTTCGGTAACCGGAACGTTTGTAAAAATTGATGAGCTGGCAAGGACATCACCATGCCATTAAGGTTGAGGACATTGATGTCGTCACTGAATTCGATGGTATCTCGGTAGCTGCGTGTTGCTAGCTGATGCTGTACGGGCTTGAGTTTCTCTGCTAACCACCTCGCCACCACATGATACGGAGAGTTTCGCATGGCTAAAATCGGACGAACTGGCAGGCCTTCCTTTTGGATCTTAGGTAGACCATATAGTCGGGGGATATGTGTGCCGACTGGTCGGAGGTGTCCGAGGTCACGGTTACTTATGTAACCCCCGGTGTGGAGCCCTCTTAGACAGTT